TTAATCGGTATGTGGGACACGTTATCGCTATGTGCGTCATCGTATGCCTGCATGTCTGCTCGCCGGGATTGGGAGGTGCGCCGTACAACTCTGTGTGCAGCGACCGTATAAACAGTGACCAATCATCAACCTCTGTTTAACCTAATCCCCATACTGATCATGAGTAACTCCCTGCGTGTACACTTGATCCGCAATATACGTCCTGAATAAACGTGCTCCGTGCTATACGTCGATTTCCTTTCATAGCTGGGCTATAGCTTAGCTGGTTCTGGGAGTCTAGCTAGATGTAGGAGGATCTGCCATAGAGATTTCTGAGTCAGTCAGGCTTTACTAGCGTAGCAATCCGCTACAGGCATTAGAGTCGGCACAATTCTTTCCAAGGGGTTATGGGAAACTACGGCGTAATTTCTTTCGTGTAAAGGAGAAGACCTCAATCTCATGTATCTAAACTTCATAAGCTTTCCAAAGTCACTTAATTTAAGATATGTTTCTACATCCACTTGTCGGAGTAATATTTTTTGATAAAAAGTCGATTTACCTGTTGGAATCAATCTTATTATTATTAATTAAGACTGATATTGAGAAAAATAAATTTCGGAATCCCACCTCTTTTTAAACTTTATTATAGTTAAAAGACAGGTCAGCCATCAAAATTATTACTCAAAATTCTTATAGAAATACTAATAATAATTAAATGTAACTGGCACAAATGAATAAATTTCAAGTATATACGACTTCAACTTTCTGTAAATATTTAATTATCTACAGATTTATAAATTGAAATACACAATTTTAAATTTTAATTCCTTTATAGAGCACCTTGTAGAGAAATGCGTGTAAAACTATTTCTTTTTTATAGCCGTAAAGGTATGAAAATTAACTGCTTACTCTTTTAATTTCCTTTTAAGATCCGCATTTTCGGCCATGAGATCATGAATTCTCTCATCTCTAGCAGCTAACCGTTCAGAGCAATTGTTCACTAAAAACTAGAATTAAAAGGTCAGAGTTATTAGAATGTTAATCAGGTCATACCATTGCTTCTTCCAAAAATTGATTCAAATGGGCGATTGAGTTCTTCATATCCTTTTCTCGCTTCATTAAAACATCTTTTCTAAAAAGAATACAGTTCCGTTAAATTACTTAAATCATATTTATGGGTAAATTAATTATAGGTAATTTGCTTTACTTAGCAGCAAATGTTTGATATCGTTTTAAGTCACTGTGTCTCCCTTGGGCAAATGTACCCAACGCAATTTCGCTTTGATCGGGTGTGGAGCTTACTGGGGGTGAAAGTAGTCGATTTGGAGCTGAAGGGATTAGCCCACCGAAATCTGAGTTCCTACTGGGGGAAGGCATCGCCATTTGACGGAACGCAGCTACGGCTGCGGCAACGCTGCTTGACACCCTTTGAGTTTGAGCGCTTTCTGAACTTTCTGCAATTTATAGAACAAAGTACCTACTTCCATTATTTCAGTAAAAGCTCATTTGTAAACTTCATACTAGTTCCAGGTGTTGCAAATAAGTACCTCGGAACTTTTAGTTTCACCAAAAGTTAAAACTCATAATATCATTCAATCACCCTTTTTTAAACCCAGGTACCCCATCTTAAATTGCTGTCGAGACCAGGAAACTGGCGCATGCCCAACCTTTCTTCGGTCAAGTCAATTTTAAACTCTTATAAGGTAATAGTATTTCAAGATGTGATCTGATATATATAAATATATATATATATATATATATATATATATAA